ACGTGACTCAAATCGTGCCTGGAAGGAACGTAAAGCCCTTATCTCTTTCCAACAACCAGAGGTACAAGGACCATTCTCGTCACCGCTTTGGCACCTGCCAGTAATATTTTTAAGTTTAATTGAACTTACATGTTCACGGGAAAGGGAATGTTTGCATTTGATGTGGAAGCGACAGGCGACAAGCTGAAATGAAATTTTTAAGTTAACTGTAATATACCTTTCATAACACGGAGCCTTCAAGCCAATGCAGGGTAAACCGGTAAGCTATTATTCATGACTCATCTTCCCAGTGTTCCAAAGCCGCCAAAAAAACTTGTGGAGAATGCTGCTCCGTTGAGCTACCCTTCTCGGTTGTTGGCTGACCCGGATTTTCAGTTGGAGACACCTCCTTTCCGAAAGCCACCCATTGTGGATAAAAATGAAATGTATATTACAGTTAACTTGAAAATTTCATTTCAGCTTGTCGCCTGTCGCTTCCACATCAAATGCCAACATTCCATTTCCCGTGAACATGTAAGTTCAATTTAATTTAAAAATATTACTGGCAGGTGCCCAAGCACTGACGAGAAAGGTCATTGTACATCTGGTTGTTGGAAAGAGATAAGGGCTTTGCGTTCCTTCTAGGCACGAACGGAGTCACGTCTTTCTGACCTTGAGGCTAAACTCTCGCAAGTAAACGTTGTCGACAGCATTGACACCAATATCTCGTGTGTCAATTCCGTTCAAACTTTAAAGAGTTCTGGAAGATGGCAGTTAGACAGTGACGCCGTCATGTCATGGTTTGAGGCAAAACTGTCCCAAGACGAATATCGTCAGGATGTGTCGGCGGACCTTTCTAGTTTGGTTGACGGGGACGTGCAAACCTCCGTTGGTCGCATAATGAATGTGTTGTTGGAGCCGAACTACAGCTCACATTTTTCATGGGCTGGCACTAAGGAAAAAAAGAAATTCAAAGACACGAAAACGTGTAACCTTGTGATACGTAGGTGACATTTTTTTCATTGTTGTCTCTCTAGGAACTATTAGCAGTTTACATAAACTAGATAATGCTGACCGACGTACCACAGTGAAGGCTATCACGGCTTCAATTCAACGTTGGTTCCATAACAGTCGGGACAGACTGAAGTCGAGAATTAGAAGGCGGCGGCGTTCCCCATTGGTAGGTCCTAATTTTTTCCTAACTTCATTTTTCAGATCACCGTCGACGTCAACAAAGAAAACCTACCAGACGCCGAAAGCACACGGGTGAATTTTCCTGGTGATTTACAGAATGTTCTACTTTAGAAAGTTATCTTTCTAAAGTAGAACATTCTGTAAATCACCAGGAAAATTCACCCGTGTGCTTTCGGCGTCTGGTAGGTTTTCTTTGTTGACGTCGACGGTGATCTGAAAAATGAAGTTAGGAAAAAATTAGGACCTACCAATGGGGAACGCCGCCGCCTTCTAATTCTCGACTTCAGTCTGTCCCGACTGTTATGGAACCAACGTTGAATTGAAGCCGTGATAGCCTTCACTGTGGTACGTCGGTCAGCATTATCTAGTTTATGTAAACTGCTAATAGTTCCTAGAGAGACAACAATGAAAAAAATGTCACCTACGTATCACAAGGTTACACGTTTTCGTGTCTTTGAATTTCTTTTTTTCCTTAGTGCCAGCCCATGAAAAATGTGAGCTGTAGTTCGGCTCCAACAACACATTCATTATGCGACCAACGGAGGTTTGCACGTCCCCGTCAACCAAACTAGAAAGGTCCGCCGACACATCCTGACGATATTCGTCTTGGGACAGTTTTGCCTCAAACCATGACATGACGGCGTCACTGTCTAACTGCCATCTTCCAGAACTCTTTAAAGTTTGAACGGAATTGACACACGAGATATTGGTGTCAATGCTGTCGACAACGTTTACTTGCGAGAGTTTAGCCTCAAGGTCAGAAAGACGTGACTCCGTTCGTGCCTAGAAGGAACGCAAAGCCCTTATCTCTTTCCAACAACCAGATGTACAATGACCTTTCTCGTCAGTGCTTGGGCACCTGCCAGTAATATTTTTAAATTAAATTGAACTTACATGTTCACGGGAAATGGAATGTTGGCATTTGATGTGGAAGCGACAGGCGACAAGCTGAAATGAAATTTTCAAGTTAACTGTAATATACATTTCATAACACGGAGCCTTCAAGCCAATGCAGGGTAAACCGGTAAGCTATTATTCATGACTCATCTTCCCAGTGTTCCAAAGCCGCCAAAAAAACTTGTGGAGAATGCTGCTCCGTTGAGCTACCCTTCTCGGTTGTTGGCTGACCCGGATTTTCAGTTGGAGACACCTCCTTTCCGAAAGCCACCCATTGTGGATAAAAATGAAATGTATATTACAGTTAACTTGAAAATTTCATTTCAGCTTGTCGCCTGTCGCTTCCACATCAAATGCCAACATTCCATTTCCCGTGAACATGTAAGTTCAATTTAATTTAAAAATATTACTGGCAGGTGCCCAAGCACTGACGAGAAAGGTCATTGTACATCTGGTTGTTGGAAAGAGATAAGGGCTTTGCGTTCCTTCTAGGCACGAACGGAGTCACGTCTTTCTGACCTTGAGGCTAAACTCTCGCAAGTAAACGTTGTCGACAGCATTGACACCAATATCTCGTGTGTCAATTCCGTTCAAACTTTAAAGAGTTCTGGAAGATGGCAGTTAGACAGTGACGCCGTCATGTCATGGTTTGAGGCAAAACTGTCCCAAGACGAATATCGTCAGGATGTGTCGGCGGACCTTTCTAGTTTGGTTGACGGGGACGTGCAAACCTCCGTTGGTCGCATAATGAATGTGTTGTTGGAGCCGAACTACAGCTCACATTTTTCATGGGCTGGCACTAAGGAAAAAAAGAAATTCAAAGACACGAAAACGTGTAACCTTGTGATACGTAGGTGACATTTTTTTCATTGTTGTCTCTCTAGGAACTATTAGCAGTTTACATAAACTAGATAATGCTGACCGACGTACCACAGTGAAGGCTATCACGGCTTCAATTCAACGTTGGTTCCATAACAGTCGGGACAGACTGAAGTCGAGAATTAGAAGGCGGCGGCGTTCCCCATTGGTAGGTCCTAATTTTTTCCTAACTTCATTTTTCAGATCACCGTCGACGTCAACAAAGAAAACCTACCAGACGCCGAAAGCACACGGGTGAATTTTCCTGGTGATTTACAGAATGTTCTACTTTAGGAAAGATAACTTTCTAAAGTAGAACATTCTGTAAATCACCAGGAAAATTCACCCGTGTGCTTTCGGCGTCTGGTAGGTTTTCTTTGTTGACGTCGACGGTGATCTGAAAAATGAAGTTAGGAAAAAATTAGGACCTACCAATGGGGAACGCCGCCGCCTTCTAATTCTCGACTTCAGTCTGTCCCGACTGTTATGGAACCAACGTTGAATTGAAGCCGTGATAGCCTTCACTGTGGTACGTCGGTCAGCATTATCTAGTTTATGTAAACTGCTAATAGTTCCTAGAGAGACAACAATGAAAAAAATGTCACCTACGTATCACAAGGTTACACGTTTTCGTGTCTTTGAATTTCTTTTTTTCCTTAGTGCCAGCCCATGAAAAATGTGAGCTGTAGTTCGGCTCCAACAACACATTCATTATGCGACCAACGGAGGTTTGCACGTCCCCGTCAACCAAACTAGAAAGGTCCGCCGACACATCCTGACGATATTCGTCTTGGGACAGTTTTGCCTCAAACCATGACATGACGGCGTCACTGTCTAACTGCCATCTTCCAGAACTCTTTAAAGTTTGAACGGAATTGACACACGAGATATTGGTGTCAATGCTGTCGACAACGTTTACTTGCGAGAGTTTAGCCTCAAGGTCAGAAAGACGTGACTCCGTTCGTGCCTAGAAGGAACGTAAAGCCCTTATCTCTTTCCAACAACCAGATGTACAATGACCTTTCTCGTCAGTGCTTGGGCACCTGCCAGTAATATTTTTAAATTAAATTGAACTTACATGTTCACGGGAAATGGAATGTTGGCATTTGATGTGGAAGCGACAGGCGACAAGCTGAAATGAAATTTTCAAGTTAACTGTAATATACATTTCATTTTTATCCACAATGGGTGGCTTTCGGAAAGGAGGTGTCTCCAACTGAAAATCCGGGTCAGCCAACAACCGAGAAGGGTAGCTCAACGGAGCAGCATTCTCCACAAGTTTTTTTGGCGGCTTTGGAACACTGGGAAGATGAGTCATGAATAATAGCTTACCGGTTTACCCTGCATTGGCTTGAAGGCTCCGTGTTCTCAGATGAGGAGTCACCCGTTGTTCTTTGCAAACCTTCAATTGCTGTCTTCAATGAACATGGCTGGTCGAAATCATCTGAAAAAGAACATTATAAAAGACTTGACGTTACTGAAGCGTCCCATAAGGGTGTACTTGTACGCCGTCGGACTTGAACCGTGAACTACCTCTGCATGTGCAATGGCATCAGCAGATGAATACGACCGAGGCAGGAGCAAGTATTCACCAGCCACCGCCACCTCGCTAACTACCAAAATCTTATTCTGGACAGGTAACTGGACTAACAGGAACTGCTTAGTCATCTGTAAATAATGTACGACTATTAGATAGGAAAATAGGTACACTGGAAGAAGGGAAGTCTTGCAATACGTATATTGATAGGTGCGCATATTGTAATGAAGGCAGATGAATGCAAAAGTAAACTCACCATTTAATATTAATAATAATAATATATAGAATACTAATATATAGAATAATAATACATATAATAATGATATATATAATAAGGTACATATTTTTTAATAGCTATGTAGGAAACACCAATTGTATTGTTTAAATTACATGAATTACGGCTGCTGTCATTTTTTCTTTAGTTTTGGTTAAAAACATGACAACTACTGATTCTATAGACCACATTAGGAGATATAGGGATATTGACTTCGCATTAAAAAAAAACCCAAGTATTCGTTGGAGGGATTACGGATACTTGGGAAAAAATAAAGCTTGAAGTCAATTCCCTTATATAACAATAAAAAGAAACTTATAATAATATACTGTTTTCATTGAAAGAAGATATGTCTATATATACAATGGAGGAGAATGGAATAACGATAGTAAACACAGTTGGCATAAGTTAATACTATTGGTTTGTATCCTTGATATCGGTCAACTGTGGCTCACTGTAAACTGTAGTACTCTTTAAGTCACGACAATTTTGAGGTGTGCAATATGGAAATTATAACGGAGTTATGCAAAAGACTTAAGCCAATGCACTTCGCCCGAATTTCACTGAAAGCCCGTAAACTTGTGTCACCCTCAAAGTTATCTACCTGATATATCCCAATATCCCTCGAATCTAGTGGGTTTTTAAAAAAGCTATTTGGATTCTTATAAGCTCGGAATCGAAACTGATTTCCGTTTACAATTTCTGAAACCACTCCTGGTGTATTGCCTACCACAAAGCAATTGTCAGGAGGATATGAGCTTACTTTAAAGTTGGCAAACGTAGCAGTCTGCTTAGACACATTTACAGATACATTAGGTGTTATCTCTGATTTTGCTGAATCAGCTTCGACTAACCATCTTTCTCCTATGCGTTTACCTATCTGAACTGCTGGGTTATTGGGACCTTTGACTAGAGTCTGGAGAAAACGCATGTTCGATTCAAATGGGAAACATGAGAAAGTGTCCAGTGGTCCGTGCTGTTTCACGTCCTCACAAATATGAAGTAATCCATGGATATTGTATACCATGTTTTCCTCCCCAAATAATGACCTAAAGTTCCCAACGAATTTCAATAATAAACCCTTCACGTCATCTAGGTAATGGGAAGAATAAACCGGGTGACTTAAGATGTAACATGACAAGAATAAATCGAAGAAGTTGTCATAAAAGCAAGGTGGTAATACGTCCTTAAGGTATACCACTCCTAAATATAAAAGAAAGAGCCTACACTCCGTTGCTTTCCAATGGTCAACGTCGTCTAATGTTCGACACTTACGCTGGAATTCAAAAGGAGTCAACTTGTGTGAGCCGAGTAGTCTGCAGTTAACAGTGTTCAATATCGTAGGATGCATGCCATCTGCCCTAGATGTGGCCATGGATTTCCACAGGCCAATCAACTTTCGAACTACACCTAAGTATATGAGATGCATGCTATCTATAGGGAAAACAGTGATCATGTCTACATGCAATCTCTCGAAAGGAGATTTACCCTTATGGTGACATGGCAAAGTTTGGTTGCGAAAAGACATGTCTGTTCTTAAAGCAGCACATGTAGTAGGAAAAACCATGCGATGATTAGCACGACGGCATAAAGCCTCACATTTATCGCATCCTTGTGTTGAATTGTGACCACTTATTTGCTTAACTAGTGCTCTTGCTGATGTATCACAGATGACGGCCTTAAGTACAATGTCTATGCGATGATTGTTGGCTAATGTGACACCATTGGCACAAATGCTTTCTAATTCGATGATAGTGTCCCTCAAAAAACTGTGTATACTTAAAGGTTTACACGAACCACAGTAGACTCCTACCAAGAATACCTTGTCACAGCCCGACAAAAGTAACTTCTCTTGTATTGGCCACATCTGTAATTTGGAGTTGTTGAAAATTGGGTCACCATCAATGTTCAGCTGAAGAGCAATTGGCACAGAGACTTTACATTTGACAATTTGTAACCGAGATAAAATCTGACGACGAAGACCAATGTGAACTTATATTCCAGGACCAACTGCTCTCCCTTCAAAAAAGTCTTTAGTCCTCATCAATGTCCGAGGGTCAGTCAGCAGTTCACGAGGATGTGGTCTTATTTCTTCCAGCAAAATACGAGTAGTAGTCATATTCAGCTTGCATCTGTAGACGACGTTGCGAACAGAATCCACTGGAGTGCACTCGGTTTGGTCAACTTCCTCTGTTGCAGACAGTTGTTCATTCGGTAAATGAACATCAAATGACGGTGTAGGTGACATGCTATTACAAGGAACATCAACTGGAACGATAATTTGTTGGGGAGTAACCATGTTTCCTGCCATTGTTTCAGGTTGTGGTTCACTTGCAAGAATCTTCGCATATGATTCTGTGTACATTAATATGAAAGGACAAGCTTACCTTCTACACGCTTCTTCCAATCCAGATTGTACTTTTTTAGACGCCGATAGTATGTTGACTTATATCGTCTTAAGTCAAAATTGACTAGCGCTGCATCGTCAAAGAAGATTGATTAATAAACCTACGTAGTCTAGAATTCTTCCGGCGGTATGGTTCGACATTAGCTGGTGGTCTGCTGTCATTTAGCGTATTATTGATACTTGACGGGGAAATGTTAGAGCTCATGTTACCTGGAAGAAATCGGAGAAACGGTTGAAAAGCGGATTCCTGCAGTCTACACAACTTATACGCTATGCCTAATAATAAAAACGGCCGGTACTGTTAAAGTCGCAATATAAAACGTATCACTACGCAAGTAATTACTTGGAAAACTTCGTAAAAAAGAAGGGTGGCAAACAGGCCAACTAACAACAAAGGAAATAAAAATGGTGGATTCCGCCGCTTCAAAGGATTTCAGTGCAGTAAAACATTTCTCAGGTAGGAGCCTTTGGTGATGTATTCAGATAGTGAAAGTACATTTAATTGATTGTTTATATTAAAAGAGTTTATTATTTTAAATTATGTATTATTATTCAGTAATTCAGATTCATTGTAACGCAGTTCTAAAAAGTTAACTGTCAAAGTAACCTCGCGAACTTTGAAACGAGAGTTAATTTTCATGCTCTTGTTTATAATTGGATTTTGTTGTGTTATACGCTTCAAAAGTCCACAGATTTAACTTTAAATCAGTTTATTCTGATCGAAGTTAGTTTACGTTTCAGATCTGAGTCTATTAATTATAGGAATTTGTGTTCTTATAACATAATAGCTACATATATCTATCTTTGTGCACTCATTAGCTTTTATCACTGATTTACAAAGGTTATATATATATTTGAAGTTGTATTTAACTTTTCCTGGTTTGTTTTAAATAAAATGCCTATCAAAAGAAACCGCTGCGGAAGGGCTATGTGCCAGTTTCCAGTGGATGAGGGAATGCAGTGTGATAACTGCAAGAGATGGTTTCACAGTATGTGCACGAACCTTACTCCAGCAGCATACAAACGCTGCTGCAAACCTCTAGCGAACTGGTTATGCAACGACTGCTGTAGTACAACTAAACTCCGTATTACAGAAGCCATAGCTACTCTTAGTGGGGCTTTAAAGCTCATGGACTGCAAGCGTCCTCCACCACAGAAGAATACCGACTATTGCTCAGATAGCGATGACGTGACTAGCGTCATTGACAAAACAGCACATGTCCCAGATGCGACCTTGCCAATAAGTGAGTGCTCTACAGCACAGAAGAACACCCACCATATTACAGACACCCAGGTCGCCCCCACGATACTGGATGAGCCCTCCAGTGACAGTAATGGAAAGACTGCCGTGAAGAAGAGGCGTACTAGGGGTCGAAAACCTGCAGCTCCAGTCGCCCAGGGACTGGCGGAACAAGCCTCATCCACACCGGTGAGCAGCAGACAGACGAACCCCCTAAGATTAGCGAGGAGGACGCCAATGAATGGCGCACCGTAGTCTCTCGCAAAAAGCGAGATAAGGATAACACTTCGGCCACACCGCCCAAGAAGGATAGAAACACACTTACGCCTCAGGGCAAGAAAGTCACGGAAAGCAAACCCGATCTCTCTGATAGGTCTCTCATTCTCCACAAAGTGGAGGAGTCACTGGCTCTCGACCCTAAGACCAGATTCGAGCATGACCTTAACTTGGTCAAGCCCCTTTTAGACAAGCTACTGCCACAAACAGTATCAGGCATTACTATACACAGCGTATACAGAATAGGTCAAAAGCCTGACCCTACAGTAAGTGAACCTGTACGTCTCCTCAAAGTCGTACTAAACTCTAAAGCGGAGAGGGACGCTATTCTAAGCAACTCTCATATTCTCAAAGGATCAGGGATATATGTCCGCGCTGACTTAAGCCTAGCAGACCGTGTCAAAAGACAGGCTGCGGCACTAGAATTAAGTGAGCGACGCCGGAACGGTGAGAAGAACCTTAAGATTAAGGGTTTTCGGGTTGTCCGAGTTCGCAGTTTAATGATCCCGAAACCTCTGTGGGTGGGCCGGGGAAGCACCAATCTGAATTAACAGTCTGCTACACAAACGCCCGCAGCCTGTTAAATAAAAGGACTGAGCTGGCAAACATGATAGAAACCGGAAACCCGGATGTAATTATTATCACAGAGACATGGCTCACACCCGATGTCACTGACAACGAAGTTAACCTGCCAAACTTCGAAGTGCACAGGGTAGACCGACTAAACCGCAAAGGAGGGGGCGTAGTCATCTACCTCAAGAAAGGCTTAACCGTGCGTAGTATCGAAGCACTCGCCCACGAAAGTGAGTCGTGCGAACTTCTACGCTGCAGACTTAAATGCATAGGCCAAGACATTGACCTCATTGCTGTGTACCGCAGTCCTGACTGCAGTGCAGACGACTTCCTAATAGAGAAGCTAGGCTCCTGGACTTCAAAATGTCGAAGTCTCGTAGTCGGTGACTTCAACGCCCCAACAGTTGACTGGTCGAGCCTAACAACTCCATCTTCAGTCAACTCCTTTGACCATAAACTGCTAGAATCTAGTATATCGCTAGCCCTAGTCCAACATATCATTAAGCCCACGCGCTATGACTCACAGCACTCCTCATCAACTCTGGACCTAGTGTTCTCACACGGTGAGGATGTGGATCTCATACAACATCTTCCTCCGTTAGGAAGAAGTGACCATGCTGTGCTCACTTTCAAGTTCACAGCAACGGCAGCAAGGGCCAAAACCCCAGCTCGACCAAACGTTTGGAAAGCTGACATAAATGCGATCGTCTCAGCAGCCAACTCAGTAAACTGGTACATCAATCCAGAGTCCCAAGTAGAAGCCGCATGGAACCAATTTAAGCAACTTTACGCCCAAGTAACTGTACCCTTCATCCCTTGGTCTGTTCCAAAGGGTCGGAAACATTCCCCCCTTGGATAAACCGGGAGATTCGTAAGTTACTCAGACGTAAACGCAAATGTTGGAACCTGTTTGCAACACTTGAGACTTCTGAGACCAGGGAATTATATACTACTGCTAGAAATAAAGCTATCGCAGAAATCCGCCAATCAAGGATGAAGTTCGAGACACACCTGGCCCAAAATGCAAAGGCACAACCTAAGAAAATTTTCTCGTACTTGAATTTCAGGAATAAAACACCCAATGGTGTCCCAAACCTGATTATTGACAAAGATACAATCGAAGAAGATCAAGAAAAAGCAGAAGCAATGGCAAACTACTTCTCCCAAGTCTTCACTCAGGAGTCATCACTGCCTATAGGATCAGCTCTGGCTGCATCAGAAGAACATGGGATAGATTCCGTTGACATCGACCAAGGCATCGTGCTCAACTTCTTAATGAAACTAGATGCAGGAAAATCAATGGGTCCTGACAGTCTTCATCCAAGGCTTCTCAAGGAGCTATCAGCCCACATAGCCGGCCCCTTGACCACGATCTTCAAGCTATCTCTCCTAAATGGAGTGTTGCCACGTGATTGGAAAGACGCCATAGTAACCCCCATACACAAAGGAGGATCAAGACAAAGCCCTTCAAATTACAGGCCTATCAGTCTCACCAGCACTTTAATCAAGACACTGGAAAGAATTATCAAGAAAAGCATCATGGCTTATCTGGAAAATAGCAGCTTGTTATCTGGAGCACAGCATGGCTTCCGGAGGAACCTCTCATGCCTGTCAAATCTCCTGACTGCAAGAGAAAGCTGGGTCAAATCAAAGGACAACAGAAGACCCGTTGACGTCGTCTTCATAGACTTCAGTAAAGCCTTTGATAAAGTACCTCACAAAAGACTACTCATGAAATTGGAAAGTCTTGGTATCAAAGGCAGACTACTAGACTGGCTCAGGGAATTCCTCATAGATAGGAGGCAGAGGGTTAGGATCAACTCAAAACTCTCCTCCTGGACAGCAGTAAGTAGCGGAGTGCCACAAGGCACGGTTCTCGGTCCTCTCCTTTTTATTCTGTATATCAATGAGTTACCTCTGCTCACCGACTCCCCTATGGTCCTATACGCAGATGACTTAAAAATTTGGAGAGAGCTGAAGGGCAACAGTGATACGTCACCTTGCAAGACGACCTCAACAAACTGTCGGAGTGGTCTGTTGAATGGATGCTCCCGATCAATGTGGCAAAATGTGCAACCATGCGCATTGGACAAGCAAGCACGAGCTCCTACGAACTAGAGGGAATAACACTTCCATCAGTTCAGACTCACTTGGACTTAGGTGTCATAGTTAGCCACGACTTAAAAACTACAGCACACTGTCGCGCGGTGGCTGCACGTAGTTTCAGGTCCTTATGGGCGATTCGCAGAGCCTTTACAAGAATTACCAGAGATATGTTCACCTCCTTATACACATCTCTGGTTAGGTCAAGACTGGAAAACTGCATCCAGGCCGCCAGTCCGTGTCTAAAAGGGGATTCACACATTCTAGAAAGTGTTCAAAGGAAGGCAACACGTATGGTTCACGGCATAGCTAACTTATCATATGAGGAAAGACTAGATAGTTTAAATCTCTTCTCACTGTCATACCGTAGGCAGAGAGGAGATTTAATCACAATGTTTAAAATTTTAAATAATGACTACGGACCTGACCTATTCTCTCTTTTCCTTCCCACCAGGTCGGAACACCTTAGAGGACATAGCAGGAAAGTTCAAAAGCCAAGGAGAAATCATATTGCTGTTGAGTACTGGTTCTCACATCGAGTCATAAACTCTTGGAACCGACTCCCAGAAGAAGTGGTGTCTGCAACCTCAACTGATTCGTTCAAGAAGGGTTTGGACAACCACAGAAATCTACTAGAAAAGGATTAACATAGGCTGCAAGCCTTCTATCCTCAACCAATAAATCTGAATTGGTTGAGTAAGTACATCAGGGTTACTCCCATTGGTTGATTTGTAGCCAATAACCGTTCATCAAGTTGCCCCGAAAAGTCTACAGTGCGCCCTAAGTTTTCCTCGGAATCTGCAATTTGCCCAAAGTTTGCCCCCAAAAATTCTGCAATGCGCGCTAAGTTAGCCAAAAAGTCTGCAATTTGCCCGAAGTCTGCCTCAAAACGTCTGCAATGCGCCCGAAAAAAATGCTAGCTGGGCAATAGTAGAATCGGTATGAACAGTCCATATATCCCATAATAAACTTGAAGAATCCTAAAACTTCCGATTTACCTTTCACACTTTGTCTTCTGCAAAATGCAAATGTTACACAAATGCCTCTCCTCTCTGTCCGTTACAATCAACTGGAAAAGACTAAATCTTCAAACGTTATACTTCTTTGATTAAGTTACCCAATAATATTCTCTTTTTTGGTGGGTCCACATGCATATCACATCTGTAGAATCTATACATGCGTTAACTTGTGTCCTTAAGCTGAAAAAATGTAATGTTTATGTGACTTTTATTAGTATCATTTCAAAGCCCGCCTCAGTAACGTGAGCTACGTATTAGGCGCAGAGTTTATGCAAAGTAAAATCTACCAATCACAGTACGCATATGTGACCTTGAGGTGCTCAGCCTCTCCATAAGGTCGTGTGTGCCTTTATCCATTGCCGCGATTCCATAGA